ACCATATGCCCGCTGTTTAACTCGTTTTCTTACAGTTACAATTATTTTGTGTTTGTGTATATATGTTCATAATCACTTAAAAATTTTTATGAAAACGAAAGGAAATGTTTTCTATATATGATATTCCCGTGTCTTCATAAAACATTAGATTGGGATTTAAGCGGTAGTGAGTTACGGGGGAAACATTCAATTTTATTGCGACAGAAGACTAATCCATATCGACAAACAGTGCGAAAATGTAGATTGATTGATGTTGCACATCGTTTTGATGATAATATTTTCCTTTCGCTTAGAAACAGTTTCATATGGATTGTGTTTTCGTATCATCCATCAGCCAGAATCTTGATGATTTTATCTTTAGGGAATTGCCATTTGAATGTACTTACTTGAAGAAATTCTAGACAAGATCCTATATAATCTTTTTTCACTTTTTTTTCCTCATTATTGACTTTTTCTTCTTATCTCGTACACAAGTGGTTATGCACTTTGAGTTAGACATTCACGGATACTTGCTGTTTGTAGACATTTGCGTGGGCACTAAGTAGTCAATCAATAAGAGTCTAAATATATTAAATATTATGAGATTTATGTTACAAGCGATTATTAGAAAATCTTTTATTATTTGGGACAGACAAGATTAATCAATCTATGTATAATTAGCAAGAAACAAGCTATGCTCCTACTCTATACTAATTGTGGGACAGGATAGTATATATTAAGTTTGTGCGAATGTATGTAACACTTAGATAGACTTAAGATAGACTAACTGTAACAATCGGTTCAAAATCATTTTCGAAATTCTTTTATGTGCGTATGTCTTTTCGTCCGAATTAAATCCATGTGGTTTTCCGTCCAACTCCTAAGGAGTCACAATTCGAAAATATTTTGACAAAATTTCCCATACTGACCATGTTTATGACCAATGCTTAGTTGCAAATTTCTTCGTATTTTGGTAAATTAAATTAATAGGAAAAAATTTGGATCAGATCTGCCGATAAATTTTGAAATCTTTCTTATCCTCTTTGAAGTTGCCTTTATTACGAAAAGTAAACGTTTATACGAGAAAATGGTGTAACATGCGAAAATTGGTTCAGGACATTTCTTCCCTAACATAGCACTTGTCTGTACAATATTTGGTTCCGCCCAAAAGGCTATTCATCAACAGTGAGACTTTATGGGACAACAATGTCTAATTTTCAGTATTTTATGACGAAAATAGGAGAATAATATAAAGGTCTTTAATAAGATTAAGGATTAGAGCGGTTAATTTGCGTTTTAGGTCCTCTTCTATATAAGGGCTGCCATGGGCTCCCGTATGCATTTACATGAAAGAAAGTTAAAATTTTCTGTTATCGATTAGGGAAATAAATGAAGTGTTGTTCTCGGCGAAGTGCTGGTAGGCTACATAGTGATCAGCCTTGACCACTACTTTGACATTTTTATCCTTTTTTTTTTTTAAATAATTTTCTCATATTTTCCCTAAATGATTTAAACGACTTTTTAGGTATCGAAATTGATTTCTTGAGCATATTTTCCGCCATGTTAAATATTTCCCCAAGATTAAATATAGGTATTGAGGACTAGTAAACTTTAGAGCTCTCGATGATCATCTCGTTCATTGGTTTGAACAGGCGGTATGGCTTTGGGTAGAATGGAAATATTTACTTTGATTTAGTCAGTACATGAACGATGGTTGGACGGGATTGGTTTTCCTATACCGAAAATCGTATGAAACGAAAAGTGCTTACTTTCGAGACACTTGTACTGTTTTTTGATTGAGAAGAGATTATCGTCATCTTCCAATATTAGATCAGGTTGAAGACCCTTTCGAAAAGTGTTTTGTGTAGTGTATGGATTGAAAAATACAATAAGCTTAAGTACAAGGGATATTGTATTGAACAAAATCAAATCTTCATTGTGTCTTTCATATATAGGCTGGAAAAATATTGGCAAACCTCAAGCAGATAGAGATTTTTGTTAATTTCATTGTAAAGTATCTTCGTAACGTATTGCAAGGAAATCATTTAAAACTTTTTCCTCTAAATAATGTCTTGAGAGTGTAAATATTTTATTTAATTTTTTTTTTATTAAGATTGAAATACTTAAGAGATTCTTGAATCTTCTGCATATCATTAGAGTAAATATTCTTATCGATTCATGCGATTCATGATGTTATTGTTGATGAAGATCTTTTAATTTTAACATCTTTTCTTATTAAATTAAATATATTAATAATGTTATTGAATTCATTTAAGCATTAAAATCCGCTTAAAACTTTTTTCTGCAATATTTATTATATATGAATACTTGTGAAACTGCCAACTGATTTAAATTCTCACTCACCTTAAACTTATGAATATATTAACAGTTCTTAATTTAATTAAATAATTTTTACAATTTAAAAATTTGTTTTGCACGATTACTGGTTTTCATCGGCCAGTGTAGATGTAATGATCTCAATAATCTCTTATATAATATCTCATCTTCTCTTGATAGTTATAAGATCACGATTCTATTTAGCTCGCTTGTGTGTCGCTATTGCGGAGAGATTTGCATCCGTCTTTTACTTAGATGTTCTTAAAAAAATCATATGCAAGCAAGAAGAATCTTATTCATATTAGTCAATACGGAAGTTAAAATGATCAGGATATAGGAAATTGACTGTACAAGGATGTATTAAAATTATGCGGATGCATAGAATACGTAGAAGGATAGCTCCAACCGATCCGATGCAAGAAAGAACGCTCTCTGAAACGATCTAATGTTTGTCTGTCCGTCTGTCCGTCTGTGTGATCTACAGGTCGCATATCGATGTGTTTTAACGAAAGGACGGAAGCTGTTAAAAATTTAATCACCTGTTCGAACACTTCCGATATAACAAGTTGTTATGAAAAGTTTTTACATGAATTGCTCAATTAAACGAAGTGAGCCGCCCCTCGCCCACTATACTATTTTTAACTGTTTTCATATTAATTACATTTATTTAATACACTTAATTGCTTAGTAACAAAGCATTCAATAATCAATGCAATGATGCATCTGGCTTTTAATTGATGAATTCTGGAATGGAAGTGTAGTAATATGAATTTTTTCCGCCTAATCAATTATAATCAAGTTAAAAATAAGTAAAAAAAGCTGTGTTAACACATTATTTCTCACAGAATTTTTTTGTGTTTTTTTTTTTATTATTGCACAAATGATTGCATTGTAAACAATTAATTTAGTTCAGCACATGACTAGATGACTCTTAAAAAATAGTGAAATAAATCAGCATTAGTCGAAAGACCTGAATTCATATTTCTATCTAAAACTTGCGGCAAAAATCGCTATAAAGCGTATTGTTTCTCGTTATTCCTCATCTAAAACATATATTACATCTATGTAAAACAAATTTATTTCTTATTTGTGGGCGTGCCGTTTATCAAGTTTGTATAAAATTACGCAATATTTCCAAATACATGTCGGCCATAACTCGAGCAAAGTTAGCTCATAATTTTTTCTGATCTTTAGTTTTTGTTTCTGGCAGCGTCCTCTGCCATGCCTTCCATGCTTTATTCAAAAAAAAAAAAAACTAGTCACACAAACACATACAAAATATTATCTATCTCTACTACTCTCCTTCGGTCGTCTTTTAGAGATACACAATGAATTCCCTGCGGAACGAAGAACCGATCTTTTCAAGGCTATAGACAAAGCATCCATATTTGAATACCGTCATATAAGCATGGAAGCAGCATAAATCAAATATTGAAATTTGTGTTAATCAAAAGGGAAAATGTGTATTGATAAGAGCAGGAACGTAGAACATTTCAAGTTAAAATTGCAAGCATTTCCTAACCGAAATTTGTTAAGTGGAACCGAATATCTTCATATTCAAATCGTACGATATCAAAACCTTTGGCATATAACATTCAAGTATAGCTTAGGGCCACTTTCATTTGGTTAGACTAAATCATAATACATCACTTCCAGCCGCATTCACCTTTCCCTTAGAAAATGGCGGAGATAAATTCTTATACGTAATACTTAAAGAAAAGAGTTTTACATAACATCATATATAATATATGTAAAATATATATGTTCTTCTCAACGGGTGTAGTTAAGATTATTAAGACAAGCACGATGTCAAACTAAGTTCATTTTTTATCTAAACAAAAGCAAAGCAAGAACTAAACGACCTCGACATAAAAAGAAGCTTATGATGGATTAAAGTTTTTCTAATTGTCGTGATTAAGATTTGAATTGTATGGCGATAATAATGATGATAATGATGATAATGATGATAATGATGATGATGATGACGATGATGGGTGGATGGTAACTTTTTTTGAATACAATATAAAAACTTCAAGAAAAGCATAATTTTTTTTTTAAGTACAATAATAATAACAACAAACATCTCACTTCTTATAACAAGAGAACCTAAATAGAGTGATCGGTTTTTGTCTCGACTAAGTATAATGCGCCGTTGGAATAGGGAGATTTTTTATATATATACATATATATGTAGAGCGAAAAAGAAACAAGAAAAAAAAAAAAAAAAAAGAGTCTTAAAATCAAAGAGAACACGAGAGCTCCTGTTTGAGATCGCAATTGTTGGTAAAAAAGCAAGTCAAACTTGCTGCTTCACTCTCGTAAAGCTAACATGTTTTTGTTTATATATATTTCGAATAGTTGTGGATTGTTTGTCTTCTGTGATTTTGTTTTGTTTATAATCTACCATAGTTATAAAAGCTTTCTTGTTTTCTGGTTCGTGGTTAGCAGTTTATTTCAGTGAAACTGAAGTTTTAGTCTGCCACAAGTCTGGCTCAGAAACGGTCGTTCCGGTTATATATATATATATATTTATTTATCAAATCCACACATAATACTTCATACTCTTTGTCTGACTTATAATAATCAAATACGATTGATACGAATTTGTGTGTGTGTGTGTGTGTATGCGTGCGCTTGTGTGTGTTAAGAGATTACAAAAATTTCTTAAAAATATAAAAGAAGAAGAAAAAAAAAGCAAAAAAAAAAAAAACAAAGATTGAAATAATAATTTTAATAGAAATAAAATGAAAACAAAGTGAATTTCGTAATCACAGAAGATCGGCGTGAATATAGAGAAAATATTAAAATCCAATGTTTGTTACGCTAGGCAGGCATATGTTACTTGCAACGTCGCAAAACAACATAAACAATCATAAAAACATTAAATATTATGAGATCCAATACAAATGTTTTTTGTGGTTCAGACAACAACAACAACAACAACAATGCATATCATGGTTCTAATACAATAAAGAATATACATACGAGCGGTCAAAAATTGCAAACTTCGATTAATAATTTAGGAGTAGGTCATCAGCTACAAATTGGCAACAATTATGGATATCAACATCCTATGCTGCCGCATCCGCAGCATACGCAACCAAATCTACCACCACCTCCGCCACCGTCAGCCACACATCCATCTTTATGGGCTGCCCAAGCCCCAAGAAATCCCACGTGTTACCCGCAGCCCGGATGTATGCCGAGTAATGCTCACTTGAATACAACAACGTATCAAGGTAGGCAGTTTCAAGGCAGAGGTTTCCCTTATCCCTGTAACTTCTCGGGCCAACCTTGCGAACGTATAAATTTATCAGCTCCAAATTATGCCAAATTACCGCCATTGTCTGTTGTAAATCAGCAACGTATTAACGATTGTGCGGGCATACCGTTAATATCTACAGCCGTAGCTCACCTAACCCCTAATCAACGTCAACGGATTTCACGTAAACAATCACATTCGCCGCCACCTAGAAATTGGGCAAATTTATTACCGGCCGGTGTTCATTCGCACAATTACTGCAATCAATTGGTTGCGCATGCTCAAGGACCGCCATTGCTATTAAATAAACAACAGCATTTAACAATAGGACAACAACAACAACAACAACAAGGCAACCAACCACCAAATCATTGGAATCCATCAAATTGCTATACAATGCATGGAGGTTATAGCCAACAACAGCAATTCACGGCTAAATGTCAGATGCCTCAAGCCAAGCAAGATATAATACGCTCACCGTTACGCTATCAAAACTCCGCTCCAGCCGCTTTAACAAACTGTAAATCCAATGAGATTTTAGCAAAGATAGATTGTTCAGATATTAAGAATGCGGAAAATATTAATAATGGCGATGCATGTCTGCCGCGTATTATAAAGCCTCGCAAAAGGCGTAAGAAGGATCGTAAGCCGAATAATTTGGTTAATGGATTATTCTTAAAAATGGAAAATCAAATTAAAACTGCGGAGAAACAATCAAATCCTGCCGAGGCGGACATTTTAAAATGTTTAAATCATTTCACAAACATTTACAGTAACTCAACGGAAGAGTGCACTACTCGCCATAAGCAAAAGAATATAAAAAATATCTATACCGAGCAGCAGCAGGCAAGTGATGAAAATAAATTCATAAAAAATCATGGCATTTGTTTTTGCGTCGAATGTGATCCTTTGCGTTCTATATGGGAGCATCCATTACGACGATCACCATCTGATTCGTCTGAGTCATCGTCGACATCAAGCAGCTCAAATGCTACGACGACCTCGTCAAACGATAGCAAATCTGCTCAAGATGAGCCCAGATGTCGACTGATTGAGAAGCAAAAATCTGAATCAAATTTAAATGCTTGGCCTAAAAGTCGAGCAGATATTGTTGGTGTTATTGGTTCGAATCGTATTAGTCATGAACATAATGCAGCTTTGACGCAAACTTATGCGGGTGGAACGCAAGAATCTAACGGTGGTTATGCGAACATTTTAAGCGGCATCAATTTAGCTAACGATTTATTTAGTCGCACTGCATCAACGCATACATTAAATCATAATATACTTACAATAATGCCTAATAATAATAAACACAATAGTGAATTGATTGATGCGGATGCCGATGCCGATGCAATGGTTTTGCTGCCCGAAACAGCAGAAACTTTGCTAACGCGTAGCATTAACGAAATCTCACAGAAATTAATCGAAACATGCTCTAATGAATTTGGTGATTTACTTAATTCTTCATCGACATCGTCATGCGGCAGCAGCAGCAGCAGCAGCGGCAGCAGTGGCATTAGTGATTTCTCAAATGACAGCGGTATTGATAGTGCGCACATTAATTGCGATGATTTGGTTTTTAATTTTGATCAATTACATATACCAGGCAATAGTTCCACTTTAACTTCAACTTCAATTTCAACTTCGACATCGACATCGACATCGACTTCCGCTTGTAATAATTTGACATCCGCTCGTGCAACAACATCAATAACACCTACTGCTACGAATAAATATGCAGCGCAAAGCTTTTTAACAACATTGCCAACAATCACGACTTTAACATCTTCTGGCAATCAAAGCAATAATAAACTGCTAACACCCACTCTCGAATTGTTAGTTGATTTTAATAATAATCAACAGCAACAACAACATCAAAGTGCAAGAATGCCACAATCGTTAAAACAGAAACTAATATTAAACGACAATCATTGGCAGCAGCAGCACCAGCACCAGCAACAGTGCAATGAACTGCAATCATTTCAAAGGCCTGAGCAACAACAACAACAACAACAACAACAACAACAACAACAACAACAACAACAGCAACATCAATTCTTTAGCAATTGTTACGACTTGTTGTGGCATCAAAAGCATCAGCATCATCATCATCAACAACAGCAATAATAACAACAACAACAACAACAACAACAGCAGCAGC